TGATATGTTAATTGAAAAAAAGATTATCATAATGAAAGAAGCCAAAGAGAACAATTTTGTTGTCGTATGGGACAATCAGCCTTAGCGATAGTTAGCATGCATTGATAGTGGTGCTTTTTTTCCCTCAGCGAGATACAATCGAGTCTGCTGTAAGGGACCTGGGATGACCTGCGGTGGAGAAGGTAAGGAAAGACTGGTAACTAGTTACCAGGCAGTCAGAGTGATGTGTGTCTTGATAACTGCATGTGAGACAGAATCTCACTTACGCACTTATACTTTTTCAAGAACTTGGAAGGAGTAACCAACTTTTTTCAGTAGGAATAGACTCCAGGTGGCGGTGTACACAGCGGAAAACGTATTTTCTTTAGCCGAGAAAACTAACCGTTCTTTTATCTGTGGCATTTTCTTCAGATGTGGATGAATGTGTGAATAACGCTGGAATGAAGAAAGACGTGTGTACAAATGGACAATGTCAAAACACCATGAAGGATTACATCTGTGTTTGTAATGCAGGCTTCAGGAGTGATGTCACCAAGAAACTGTGCAACGGTAGGATGGGTTCTCGTCGTTAGATTTTGTTTCAGCCTTCAGTGTCCTTTTGGACAGACCCGTCAGAAAACAGCCTGACGACAGATAGACAGACCGACAGAACAGGCAATCAGCCAGCCAGCCAGAGAGACAGACAGACAGACACGCAGACAGACAGACAGACAGGAGACAGAAGGTAAGCGACCTGCCGACAGGAAGACAGACAGGTAGATAGACAGACTGGCCGACAAGAAGCTGGAGGCACTGAAGCCTGGTGCTCAACGTGCTGGAATCAAGATGTTCGTTTTGCGTTGTTGGGTAATCCACTTTTCTCTCACAGGCCTCTCTCCAACAAGGCTTATAGATCGGCAACAGCAAATTTTCTCGAAACTTAGAAGATTAGGTGGAGAGAACCGTGGATGGGTAGCATTAACCTGATAGCAAATAGATATGAGTTTCTGGTATACATTTGCTACAACTGAATATCACACAAGAACGGAGATAATTTAGACTATCATTAATCTGTTATAATCAGAACTTGTTGATAGATTTTGACTTTTTCTTGGAATTAGCTTTAAAAAAGCTTCTAAAAGGCAGCATGGTTAGTGGCTGGTATGGAGCTGGA